AAGATTTTATCTTATCTTTCAATTCTAGCTTGGTGTCATTTGTAAGTTTGATGAAGAAAAATTATATTCTTTTGCTGTAGTCTTTTTTTGAAAAAGTTAAATAATACTTGCCTGGAGATAGAACTCTGGTAAATCCCATCTTTCCAGATTCATAAGAAAGCACTGACAAATACCTTTCGGACATGTCTATCAACTGGGAGCATCACCCAGCTGACATTTGAATAGCTTTTCCACAAAAACGTGGTGAGTAACTTCTGGAAAGCCACACTGAAATCAAATGTGCTACAACCACCTTTCCCAACCTAGGGATTTTTAAACTTGTAGATTTTAAATCACAAAATTCTGTAACAAGCATGACTATTGCTAAAAAATTTGGATATTTTCATATTTCACGTACACACAGATTGGGGAAGGCTGCAAGACATCTTCATACCTTCATCTACTAAACTACTTTTTTTAAGCAAGTGAAAAGATTAGTACATATAGCACTTTAGAAACACATGCTGGTTCTTTGTAATTGCAGCATTCTAAATGCTTACATTCGAAATCGCTGAATCAATGCATTCAGCTAAGATATATTGCAGTTTGTTAGATGCTGGCTTTGTGTCCTTTGTGAACCAGCTGCCTAACAATAAGCTTAACATTAATTCACGTTCAGATGATATACAGGTTGAGGTCACATATTACATTAAGCTACTTGTTTATTAAATAAAACACAACTGAGTTCACACAGCACGTAAGCCAACAATCCAACCAATGTCAGGATAACCCGCACAATACATAAATGAAGCAGGTCATTTTCAATAAACATCAACCCAGACCAAACTCATTCTCTCCTGTGATTGTCATTTGTATAGATTTCCACAAGAATTGCACTTTTTATGCACTATTAAATTTTCTGCAGAGGCAGATAACTCTAAATGTGATTGCCCAAACTCAAAATCTGATGCAGATTGTTTTTTTCTTGGGAAAAAGAATTCAGTATGATTCCCTGCATGTGGATCACAAGCACAGAACAGGGCTTTCTGACAGCAAATAGGAAATGAAAAGTATATTAGAACAGGCCACTATTTCTGTATTTGGATGGAATTTTAATCCATTAGCACTCAGCAACACAATCACCTGCATAATATGATATATTAATTGATATACTGATCTAACAATTTGAAAAGTAGAAGACAAGTTTTTGGTCAGATAAGAAAACTGGTCAACAATATCAGAAGTTTAAAGAATCCAGCCAAGTAAGTTTAAAGAACTCACCTGTATTCATTGGATTTAATTCAATTTATTCTGTAATGAATAGGCATGTGCTTTTCTTATCTTTCTAAACCATACACCTAACCAACAAAATTAGCAGTCTCTTTATCTGCTTTAAGATGCATAATTATCCATTATCCATAATCTGATATTTAAAACCAGGCCAATTAAATGTAAATGGTGTCCCATATATATTTAAATAAATGGTGTCCCATATATATTTAAATAAATGGTGAGTGTGCAAACTAACAATCCCACTCCTCCTTAAATATAGCTAAGGGGTTAGTGACAGGCATCTGATCATGCTGTAAAAACAAAAAGCAGTTTGATATTGATAAAATTAACTTCTTTATCAATTCTAGCTTTTACCAAAATGTTATCTTTAGACAAGAAAAAAAATTAAACTCCTCCAGTTTATTTTTGTTCACATCAAAATTTTAATTACCTTTCTTTTACAATAATACTATCCTGAAGACAGTTCAACAAGCAGTGTCTCTATCTATCTATCTATCTATCTATCTATCTATCTATCTATCTATCTATCTATCAAGTATCTGTTGTTTCAGATATCAATACAGTACTCTCTGGGTGAATAATAAATAAATATGACGATAAAGTGAAAGTGATATGAAGTATGTGCTAATTTCTATACCATGCTAGCCATAGTTTGTTTGGTTTTAGTTTAGTATTTCTGCAAACCCATTCATTGTAGTTCATACAGCATGTTAGGTGATTTAGAGCTACATACCACTGCAGCTCAAAGTATGATTCAGATAGACAATCTGAATCATACCACATCCCCTTGCACTATCTCATTTTCATACTGAAAAATGGATCACATTTTATTTTTATTTAATATCCACTGCATGTTGCACCAAGTCTTTCACTGACCAAATATTCCTTAGCAACAGTAATGTTGCTTCTGTCAGGTTGATTATAATTAGAACCCAGTAAATCTGAGCAAATCAGACTAATCCTGATAATGTTCATTATTTTAACTTTTCTTCAAAATGAGATGATCAACTTGAATAAGACATAATCAAAGTCAATAGCAGGATTTTGAAAATAGGAATTTAGAAGATTTCAGTCCTTGGGCACATGACTCAATAATGCTACTTAATATGAAATATCAGTATGGAAAACAGGCAAATATAGGGCAAGCCCTAAATGAACAACCAGTTTTGCATAACATACAGCAATACAACTTAGGTCTCCAGTACTCAGGATGATTTTCTGACATGGAAAACCTTGAAAGAAGACATGTGCACACACAGTTACTTCCAAAATGCAGCATAAATGCCTATTCTGTCCTACAAACTGGATGAAAGGTGTTGAGTGCTGCATCAGGAAAAATATAGAGAAAAATCACAAGCAGATCAGCTCCCAGCTGAAAAGGCAAATATTACAGCATTCGCCAAGCCCTAAAAGATACATTCTTTGCATTGACAGGCAATTTTTCATGTCTACAAATCAGAGGAAGTAGAAAGCAACTGGCACTTCTGCACAGGTTGCAAAGGGATTTGGTCAATGCTGAGAACTGTATAAAGTTAAATAATAAAAAGCCTGTATTTTTTTCATTTCCTTAACTTTAGATAGAGTCATGGGAAGACTGAATTCATGTTGCCAGGGTGAGAGCAAATATATTAGCATCATGAAAGCTAAGTCTGCTGCACTGTTGATGCCACCTGCGCCTACTCATTGTCATTTCTTACCAATCACTTGCTGAGTACCAAAAGATAACAATAAAATATTTCTAATTTAGAAAACAACTAGCAGAAACAAACAAAAGTAATTCTACCTCTAAGAACTGGCACTTTCAAAGGAAGAGGGATGAAAAATGTTACTGTCCAGTATAACTATTTTGCTTGAGAAAAAAGTATATAGGATTGTAATTCTAGCCCCTGATGCTATGCATGTTTGTGTTTATTAAAACTATAATTTCAGCTCACATGCTTTTACATACTAGATTACAATAGCTGTTGATACATGCTCTTAAGCCTTAGGGATAGGGCGGGTCAAATATCTAAATGGAAGAGTTCAAGGAAGAGGCCACATGCTTACAAATAAAGGATAACAAGGCATATATATACACATATACATATACATACACACACACACCTCAGCTGACTGCATATGGGTGCTAGAAGTTAAAGATTTCATTACTATATCCATGCTTTAATTTCAATAGTTTAAATAATTTAGTTTTTTCTTAAGATTTAGATTCACAGAGAAAAACCCACGCTATTGCCAAATAATACAAGAGGAACTCCAGATAGTCTG